CAACTGAATCTGAACCCTTTCAAACGGCCCGGCATGGCCAGTTGGTTACGCCGCTCGACTCACAATCTGAGGGTCGCGGGTTCGAATCCCCGTCCACCAAACATGCTCGCCCTTTCAGCCGTGGGGCGTTATATTGTGACAGTCAATCCCACTATTCGTTAGTAAAAGAGTAGCCCATGAGTAACTGCCTTCCCTCTAGTGTTACACTGCTAAATTAGAGAAGGCTAGCGCAGATAGCCCTCGTGAAGCTTTGCGCGAAATTCAAAACAAACAAACCCTTTCGAACATGGAAAGGGCGAAACTACTAAGTATTGATGGGACTGTTCAGTTTTGTGCTTGTGTTATATTGCAGATTAATATCAACATCAAATCTACGGCAAGACTGCTCATTTTATTACGCCATGACACTTTGCGCATAAAACTTGATATCATGTATTACAAAACAAATTGAAAAAGTGAATACATTAAGTTTTCTAAATAACTTACAATTTTATTTATTATAATTGTCAGTTTTGTAAATTATAGAAATCCTTTTCATATCAAAATAAGCTAAAATTGCACATTTGTTGAATAATGTTCTAATAATAGGCATATAAATAAAACCTTTTTGTATAACATTCTAATATAAATCACATGCGTGAAACTTTATTAGACCTACTTTGACTGACCACGTGTTCCCAGTCGCCGTGTTGTAATGCTTGGAAACTGGTGACGAATAATCTGGCAAAACATATATTTTAACATTGAAACTTTAATGTAAATTACTAGTTTTACACAACTTGAAAAGATATTTAGAAGCAGCAAGTTGTACCAAAAGCGAAATCTTGATTACAATTATAAACTGGGAATGACCTATAATAATATTTTTCTTATATTTATTTATTTGTCTTTATTCCACAATTGAAATGTAATAAAATTATTTATTTTAACTCTGAGGTACTTTTAATTCGTACAAATGTCTAACACTTGGTTGATCAAATGATATTGTGAATTTTGAGATAAAATATATATATTATTTGGATTTAAATGTTTACTATTAGAAAATAACGGTTGATTGATTAACAGAAAACATCTGCTTTTTAATTATTAGACACTGAAAGTGTAACCAAAATCTTAATAAAGAAGTATTATAACTCCAATGATGTGTTTAAAGCAATATACGTAGGATTAAACACGATGGGTAAATTTCAGCTGATGATGATTCAGTTAAAATAGGAATAGCAGCAGAAATCCTAAAAGAAACGTAATTCAATTTAGCAACAACAACAAACACAAAAGAAATAAACAAATAATTAACTTAGAAATCATGTCAAAATTAGATCTGATGAACCATTGATCAAAGGTTACGAATAATAAAACAAAAACCTAAAAAAAATCCTGCGGCTTGGTCAAGTTTAACACAACTCATTGCATCACAGTGTACAAATACACCTTAAGTTCACAAACCACTTTCTTATAGGAACTGCAATACTAATGTTACGTAAGCCTAACTTACAAATAAACTTAATTACAGAATTTCCTTACTATTAGACATGATAACTATCATTACTAACATTGAATTGAAGTACTCATTGAATGTTATCTTCCAGTGGCTCAGCGGTAAGTCTGATGACTTATAACACTAAAAAACAGGTTTCTATACCTGTGGTAGGCACAGCACAGTTAGCCCACTATATAGTTTTGTGCTTAAAAACAAACAAACAATAATTGAATACGCAATAACTCATTACCTATCTGTTTCACTGAGTCTCCTTTTTTATATATAATTATTTTACATTTACTACGCAAAATTTCTAGGTCATTACATTACAACGTCATCTTCACTTTAGCAAACAAACATCAACATTAAAATATTCAAACTATAACTTTAAAAATGTTTTCTTCCTGGATTGTGAAGTTTTTGAACAATTCTAATACAAAAATAAAATAGTAAACTAAACTGTCCATTCACCAAATCTTTTTGCTGGATTTTATTTTCTGAGAGTTATGGTATACAGATGGGTTGGTTTCTTGTCCCTTATTGTCACGTACTCTCCTGGTGGCTTTATTATTGGTCTTCTGGAAGTGATTTCAACAAGTACCCTGGGCTCTTCAGCGGGTTGATTTTCTGCAGGTAAGTTATTCTCTGAAGTTGATCAGCTTGATGTTCTCTCACTGACATACATATAAATATGATCATGGTGGATGAACTTTGGCATGGACTACATGCTCTTTTGGTTCTCCTTAGTCTCTCTGCATATTCTGTGTAAGGTCCTACCGAATTACTGTCTTTTGGATGTGATTACACAACGTCTAATGACACTTTATGTTCTCTCCCAAACATCAGTGGTGATATGGCATTTTTGTTAACCGAACATCAAAATGTCGTAAAAATGTACCAATCCTTTTACTCACGTAACGTTACGTATACCAATGGCTAGAAACTTGTATAACTTGGGTCTTGTGCTTGACCCTCTCTAGGGAGATGCGAGCCTATCTGAAGGGGTGGTACACATATTTGTACCATTGATTTGAGTTAGGTTTTTCTCCCCTGTAAAGAAGCATGGAATAGCCAGTGACGTATGCAACAGTGCGCTTTAATGTTTTAGTCTGAATTTTGGGTGGTCATAAGACAATACAACTTAGTCCAGAAGTTATTTTACAAAATCCAAAAGGGAGAATCAATATAAAACAAGAACACCTAATGGAACTGTTACAACTGGCTACATTTATTTGCTTCCAATACAGTTTCATGGACTTGCCATGGAAATACGTTATATTGTACTTTAGTCAACATTTTCTTACATCGTATAGGCAACATGCCGTAGTCACTTCCTTATACAAGTCTTCATTTTGGCTTAGATATGTATACGACGTTATTTGTGGTTACATTTATCAAAATGAACAAACAAATTCCTTCAACACATAAAAACCTAATTTGGTAAAAAGTTTAGAAAAAAAGGACCTTTATACTCCAGATATATATCTAAAATAATATATATTTTTAAATTTTAACCAACGTTTCGTCTTTACAGCTTCATTAGGGTTAATATACACAACTGTTTGATATTCGAATATTCGTAGGATTATAAAGCTGACTGTAATGTTCAAGTTCGATTTTCTAAATTAAATACATTGATATACTGTTGAGTGTTGATTTAAATACTAAAACCTGGGTATTTGAGAATGATCGCACCAGAGATCGAAATATTGTACTTTTTAAAATAAAATTTGTTCCTTAATGTAAAATCTGTAACTTTTGAAAAAAAAAACAACACAACGTATAATCAATAAGTAAAGTAAAACAAAATTATTCATTTTGTTTATTTGTTCTCATGCGTTGGGTTCTTTAAGTTGTTGTCCATGTTTGATTTATTCTCTGCATAACATTTATCATTTCTGTGTTTTGCGGATAATTTAAATGTATCTGTCGGTTTTCACGGACAGAAATACACGAGACTAGTTGAAAAATAACACTTCCGTTCTTATTAAGTTAATTTTAAATTTAATATTTTTTCAGCTTTGATTTGAATCCGAGACTAGGCGGGGGATAATGTGATAATCCACTAGCGCTTGGACTCTATCAACTAAGATAAAGTGATAATCTATTAGCGCTTGGGCTCTACCAACTAAGATAAAGTGACAATCCACTAGCGCTTGGGCTCTACCAACTAAGATAAAGTGACAATCCACTAGCGCTTGGGCTCTACCAACTAAGATAAAGTGACAATCCACTAGCGCTTGGGCTCTACCAACTAAGATAAAGTGACAATCCACTAGCGCTTGGACTCTATCAACTAAGATAAAGTGATAATCCACTAGCGCTTGGGCTCTACCAACTAAGATAAGGTGATAATCCACAAGCACTTGTTCATTAGGCATCCTTTAACAACTCAAACTATCACATGTGTACACCTTTTTCTTTAAAAATTGCTTTTAAGTTACTATTAGCCCCTCGGTGGCTCAGCAGTACGTCGGTGGACATATAACGTTAAAAAATCGGATTTCGATAGTAGTAGTGGGCAGAGCACAGATAGCCCATTGTGTAGTTTTGTTGTTTACAATATACAAATACAACTATAAACTGGAAGAATAATTTGCCTAATAACATGGTTTAAGACCTTTAAAATTTTCGTTCGTAGGCATATTATATTGTATCGTATTAAATTTTGTTAATTTGATATATTGTGTTGTGAGTGAAATCTAACTGAGCATTTATCACCTACCTTTCCAAATGCAGCAGCTCCTACTGGAATAAAACCCTGTTTCTGGCAAAAGTCTAAATAATGTTGATATAACGTACATCGCGGCAAGCAAACTCCTTCAGATAGTTTGTAATTTTCATTAACCCTAAAGTAAAATAACAGAAAAATTAAAATTATTCCACTTTTTTAAAAAGTCTTAGAAATTAGTTGACTAAATAATTTAAAACAACAGAAGACAAATGTATAGAATTTAATGGATAAATATACTATAAATAGTGAAGTTCGAAGATACTTAATGAAATGTCCCCCAGTGACACAGCGGTATGTCTGCGGACTTACAACGCTAGAAACCGGGTTTCGATACCCGTGGTGGGCAGAGCACAGATAGCCCATCGTGTAGCTTTGTGCATAATTACAAACAAACAAACAAACGTAATGAAATAACATGTATAACTATTTTTGAACAACTGAATGATGCAAAACTAAGAATACAATACAATAAAATTATTGTGGCATTTAACCCAAATTTTTTTTCGTGGCTCAGTATTTTATTCCAAACCACTCACATGCCAGCCAAGTGCTCTACTAACTGAGCTAAAGGATTAACCCATTAGAAACTGCTAGTAAGGCAGCTTTTAAGTATTCAAAACTACCATATTAGCCGGATCTGGCCACCATTTCAAGTGCCCACAATAGTCAGCTAGCACCCAATATTATGGTATTCGGTTCGGATCTATAACCAGGGATTTAGCATTAGACCTTTTAAAATATACAGATACACTGATGCAAGATTGAATTTCAAGATCTTACTTGAGCTTTCATATCAGGTGCCCCGAGGAGAAGCCACCACTTTGGCCAGTTACCACAAACTTATGTCTGGCAAACAGTAACAAGTTATACGGAGAAGCACATTTCCAGCTTCGTCTTGGCTATGTCACTTCTGTCTGGCAAACAGTAACAAGTTATATGGAAAGGCACATCTCCAGCTTTGTCTTAGCAATGTCACTTCTATCTGGCAAACAGTAACAAGTTATATGGAGACTCACATCTCCAGCTTCGTCTTGGCAATGTCACTCATCAAATTAAAGCAGTTGTCTTCAATCTTGGATCAGGTATTGATAGCGTAGAGAGGGAGACACTGCAAAAAACTATCATTCCGTTTCACCTCTCCATTGAGCGAGCTGCAGCTCTTTAGCAAAAATAATCAGTATTAGCTAAACTGGGCCCTAACAATAAAGTGCACATGTGCTTATTGAGAAGGAAGCAGTGATAATGCCAAACGTGTAGCTGGTGTTTTATGGTGTGTTACAGGTGTAGTCAATATCCTTTTCCTACCTAGTATGGACAAATGTCAGTATGCATTGGAATGTGGCCAGTAGTTTAAAACGATAGATCTTGCCCGTAAGTACTGGCAAACCGAAGAGACCAATGAAAGATGACATGGGACACAGCTTTTAACAGTACTTTGAGAGCACTGTATGATTTTGTGTATCATGTCATTTGGTTTGTGTAATACAACTGTCACTGAAAAGGCTGATGGAGCTTACACTTAGATGTCTGCAATGGGAAAGAGTCACGTCTAATTGGATGATATATTGATCCTTACTCGCACAATTCAGGCTAATGACAATCTAAGAATGATTTTCTAGTGTGTGTGAAGGATTCAGACTCAAATTCCAATCCAGGAAAATGTGCATTCATGCTCAAAGAAGTGGGATTTCTAAATCTCATAGTTAGCAGGAGCATAGTGGCCACTGATCCTGAAAATATGACAGTTGTTATGGGCTGATCACAACCTGCAACAAAACAGGAAGTTCACAGCTTTCTAGGTTTGCCATCATATTATTCATGGCTTATAAGTACACACTATTGTATGCATTGATTAAGGCTGACATTTTTGCAAATGCATAAATGTGAAAATGCATTCCAATTCTTGAAAAATGCCTTGATTGGTCAAAGTTGATACTAGCTTATCCTTATCAGCACTGTTCTTTCATCCTGGATCCTGATGCCAGTTATAGTGGAATTGGAACAGTTTTGTCATAAGTACAGGATAGTATAGAGTGTGTAATCACGTATGCGAGAAGACACTAACTGGTCCTTATTTCTGATACTTCATGGACAAGAAGGAATTGCTTGCAGTTGTAGCATTTTTCAAACATTATCACCACAATTTATATAATGGGAGCTCACCATTCAAGTTGACCACGTATCATTGGAATGGCTAATGAACTTCATATATCCAAAAGAGATGAATGTGTGTTGGATACCGCAAAATATAACCCCGCATGGTTAGTAGCAGAGAAATGTTAATGGATTATTTCGCCAGTCATTGAAAGCACGTTCGTTTATTTATTGTTCAGATCCTGGATTATGTGAAGCAGTCAAAACCATTACAGTAGTAGCAGTGACAAAAATCCATATGAGTGGTGGAAATTCTAGTTTTAGATTGTAATCGTTAATTACTTCAACATTATTTAGACTTTTGCCAGAAACAAGGAGCTGCTGCATTTGGGAAGTTAGGTGACAGATGCTCACTTAGATTTCACTCATAACACAATATATCAAAATAACTTCGGGAAGAGCAGCTGAAGGACTCAAATATAGCTTAGGCGCTACTTGTTACGCATCAAGGTGAATCATTGTTATCAAGACTGGATAACACAGTACATAATAGAAGTCAATCATAAATGTGATATATACCTCGTCTTCTATCCGAAGCTGAGAAGGGCAATCAAGCAATCATTATGTGCCATTCATTATCACTTACTTCAATAAGTAGGCTGAAGCTTATCCATATGTTAAACCACAGTCCATTGAAGATATTTTAGATAAATACTGGATAACACGATTTCAAGCACCTAGAGAGATAAACAAAGAGCCAATTGTGATACCCAAGTTTTTTTCACAGGATTGTCGAGTGTTGTATGTGGTGAAAATACACACTTCACAATATACTCAGTCTCATGATTTGGTTGAATATCTAGTGCAACATGTCAATCACATATTTTCTGAGATGTAAGCCTTGACTAAACTGATTGGGAGGAGAACCTATGTAACTGAGTGACATTTGACTGATTGTCCTCTAAGTCTCTTGGTGTTCGAACGAAAAGATCTGACGTATGGTCCCCTACCCAGTGCAGATACAATGCACAATGTAGTAGCCAGGACGCAATGACAAACTCAAAGGGCGCGAGTACATTGTAATCATTTTCAGTTTTCGTTATAAATTTTGTTATAATTTATTGATGTTCCTTATTATTCCATAAGCGAATTCACTCATGAAAAAATCTTTGATATCCGACAACAATTCGGTTATAATTCTTATTTTATTAATAAACGAACGATTAACGTTGCATCGATCAATAACAATTTATTTGAAATCTGACAAATCTGAATAATCCACGTCAGCGGTATGCAGCCGTCGATGCGATAAAAAACACAAAAACCGAAAGCATAAGTACAAATATATTTTATCTTATAAATATTGATTTACAGCAACTACTACTTCAGTTACCTAATATTTTTTATACATGAGTACATTGGAATTATTCAAGTTCGAAAAAAGAGGCATTATTTTACTTTTTTAAGGCAGATTTATAGAGGGCGCATTTTTTATGAGAGGGCGCATTGCGCCCTTTCGCGCCCCCGTGGTTACGGCACTGACAATGCAGTGTTCATATAAATTTTTAGAGTAGCTACATATGCGTTTTCACACCAACAAAAGGAGTAAAAAGCTAGGTATCGTATAAGATGCTATAACAAAACAGTAATAAAATAAAAGTTGAGATTGTTGACTAGCTTTGGCTTTGGTATATGCCTGCAGTGCATAAACAACTCGTTCACATGATGTACTTCAGCGCGTCAAACACATCAACAAGCTTATACGCTACATCACGAATGGGTCTCTTAAAAAGAGTTTAATCCAAGAATCAGAAACACAGGAGTAGGTTTACTCTTACGACGAGAGCACTCCGTTGTATGGTCTCAAATACGTTGATGAGGAGGAAGATGTTGGCAGTACATATTTGACATTTTGTAAAGAATTGAATGAGAAAACACCAGTAGTCTGTCATCATTATAAATGTCATTAATTACTTGGTCAGTAGTTAAATGATCAGTAGAAATATCCATGACTGAAAGAAAGTGGTATTCATTGCCTTATGAGCTACTGAGTGATGGTCCGTGGTAAGATGTCTACAAGATGTTGTATGATAGCTGCTTGACTATAGTACAGAGATCAACATCTGATAGGGATTGAAAACTTTACGTTTTAATCTATTGAATGATATTTCATAGTGAAATGTTGATCTGATATCTTGAGATAACAGCTCGATTTATCTAGGGAGTTGTAACGGCATTTCACTGGAGCATATCACATGATATTCTCTAAATACACAGGTAGGACAGATGAGTGCCCCCCAGTAGAACAGCGGTATGTCTGCGGACTTGCAACGCTAGAAACCGGGTTTCGATACCCGTGGTAGGCAGAGCACAGATAGCCCATTGTGTAGCTTTCTACTTAATTACAAACAAACAAAGGACAGATGAGGTTACCATCTAAGATCCAAGAAAATGCGTAGTTGATTTCGACTGTTGATGATAATTTGGAATTTTGACAAACCAAAATGTTGAAAGGACTTTGCAAACTTTGCTTTTTGAATAATCAAGTCAAGTTTTTTGGCAAATGTTGATGACCGTACAAACTTCTGAGCGAATGTGGGATCTTGCGCATGAGCCAAGAATACTTTGTAAAGTGTCGCCACGTGCGATGACGATTGTTGGTTTGTGAAGTGAATAAGACAGATATACTCTAATATAGCTTGAAAAATTAGCACGGATGATATAAATCGAGGAAAATATGCATAGTTTTTCTAGTTGTTTTTTAATATTTGTGATATTTCCTCTGTTTTTGTTGACGTAGTGGCTCTTTAAGACCCCTATACAACAAATTCAAATATGCATTCTTATATCCTGCTAAAGTTATTTTCAGAATACGTAAACTACTAAAGGAATGTAATATTAACAGTAAAGATTGACTGTTTGATTGATTTATTGTGTTTTCCAGAGCAAAGCCTCATTGGGCTATCTGCATATCTACTGGATCTACCGTGGGGAATCAAACTCCGAATTTTAACGTTGTATTCTTAGACATACAACTGTCCCAATATTAAAAGCAAAGAGGTCTGACATTTGATTTTGTACAGAGATAAGAGGTAACTACAAGATTGCCTGGTAGATTATATTACCCCAGACTTTTCTGATGAGGATACTGCATCATTAGGTTAAAAGTTTTAAACATGTTACTTTTTGTTTCGTTTGAGATTAGCCATTTATTATGGTTTGGATCTTTGCTATCCGTGCAGCCAGCCTTTTAATACCTTTACATCCATTGAATTCAATATTATTAAATAGTTTTTGATTGATTTTTTAACAGATGTACAAACACTGTATTTTGCATTTATGGCAAATCTACTAAGGCTATATGCCAACATTTCTAATTTTGAATTACTGACCAGAGGGAAGGCAGACAGCAGTCACACACCACCCATCATCCATGCTAAGGCATTGATTGTCAATATTATAACATATCCACAGCTTATAGTGCAGGAAATGTTTTGTAGTATTGCACGAATTCGAACGCAGCTCGCCACATCCGAAATCCAGATCTCTACCATAGGGCTAATAGGTGGCCGCAAAAACACTCCCTATGAACTTAATCATCTAGTTTCTTGTTAGCATTCAACTCTTTAGCCAAAGCTGTTGCAGTTCAGTCTAATAGGTTCTCATAAATATTTATTTACGTAATAAAATAATTTATTTTTGTGGCTTTTACTTTTGACCTAGCCCCCACTGGCACAGCGGTATGTCTGCGGACTTACAACGCTAGAATCCGGGTTTCGATACCCGTTGCGGGCAGAGCACAGCTAGTCCATTGAGTAGCTTTGTGCTTAATTACAAACTAACAAACTTTGACCTAAGCTAAGAGATTTTTATCAAGAGCTAGGCGAGTATTTTTTGGGTGTTAAACGGCTTTACCATTGGACTTGGTTAAATTTCAGTAAATGTTTAGAAACGTTTACTTGGAGAAAAAGAGATTACTATTTCTTGTTCACATTAACATAATATGACTACCAGTCACCAGATCTCTTGGCAGTATTCCGAATTCCTGTTAAATTGGGTCATTGTTTTTAATTAACTTTTTTTTTCTCAGGTGAATTCAAAACTGTCCCCAAATGGCTCAGGAGTAAGCTTCAGAGCACATAACACTAAAATTCAGGATTAGATTCATGCAGGATCCAGTGCAGATAGCACTGTGTGTAGCTTTGCGCTTAGCAACAAACAAACAAGACACAAATTAAATTATTCCCTTAAGCTAGGTATAACAAAAGTATATTAAAATCAGAATTCTTTAATAAATGTAACAAAAACTAGGAGAAGTTATTAATATCTGAACTTGCACATTCCAGTGCTAAGCAACTAATATTCAGTTTGATTCTAATAATTATGTACTTAAAGGTTAACAACTATAGATCGTTACAAAAGTTATAGTCAATGATGGAGAATGACATCCCACATTTGTTATAAAATACAATAAAAAGAGAGATTTCTCACTGAAATGTTACAAAATTAGATAATTTATATTAGCGTACTATCACGTTGAGCTTGAAAAGCGTTGGTCAAATCTGCATGTTATAAACAACTGGTACCAATTCAAAATCTCAGGAAAGAAGTATATAAAAATTTCATACTAACCATTCCAGCGTAGCGACATATTGAGACGATTTTCTAACAGTTTTCTTTTCCTTCACCCGCTTTTCATCTTTAATAACACAAGGTGTTGAACTGGTATTGTTTAATTCAAACTCTCGACCTAAAGTAGCGACAATGGAAACATATTAAAGTCGAACTAATACATCAACGTTGAATATATATTTGCAGTATATAATATACTGCCAATAAATACTTCGTATAGAAATAACTATTTTCAATAAATGGTAGCAGATGTAAGAAAGTAAAATTGTGAATTATATATCAGCATTATTAGTATTATTTTTCATGGTTCATATTTATTACACTTAATGACCTTTACGGTTAAATGTGTGAAAATATTTCGAGCTTATTGATTAGTCCTTGACACCATTTATAGCTGGTAATTGTAAATTATATATTTTGGCAATAGTATCTACGGTGTTCTGACATGGGTCTAGTGGTTAGGGCGCTTGTCTCAAAATCTACCAGTTGCGGGTTCAACTCCCATCACTGAATATGGGCCTAGTGGTTAGGGCGCTTGTCTCAAAATCTGCCAGTTGCGGGTTCAACTCCCATCACTGAACATGATCCCCTTATAAACCGTGTGGACGTTATAAAGTGATTATAATTTCCACTATTCGATTAGAGTATCCCAAAAGTTGGCAGTGGGTGATATTGACTGGCAACCTTCCCTCTAGTCTATCACTTCCAAATTCGGTATGGCTTGAGCAGGTTAGAGGTTCAAAGGGGAATTTTCATCGTGAATGGCACCTCATGTGCATCTGAGGTAAAGTAAGTGGCCAGATCACAAACTCCTCTGATTTATGACTCTAATTTGAACTAATGGCCAGATGGAAGGCAGCTAGCCAGCCTCAACTTTCAATAGAAGGACTTTGTCCGAATCTTTCAACCGAATAACGAGATTAACTGTTTCCACTTTTATAAAGCGCCCACAGTTGAAAGTGCGGAGAGTGTCCAACGGTATCACATCTCGGAACCAAGACCTTTTAACCACAAAGCTGCACCCGCTTTATAAAATTCAAATGATGAGATATCTTTAAGAGCATGCATTATAAAGATGCAGAAGTACGGTTAACCTACGGAAAAGCACCCCCTTAGCTTGAGGGAGAGCGTATAATGCTAAAAATCGGGATTCAACACCCACATAGCCAATTATGTAGCTTTGGGGCTTAAACACAAACAAAGAAAACACTTAGGAAAGTGATGTTGGGTGTTACTTAAGGTTAAAGTCTATAATTACTCCTTCGGGAAAGTTAAATACACAAAACTACACATTTTCCAAATTAGGGGTTTAATGAATAGCAATAACAAACGTACTTTGGACACAATTTTAGATATTAAACTTCTGTAAAGGATTTCATTTGATATTCTATTCATGATATATAAATGGCTCTGAAATCTCATTGAATCCTAAAATTACCAGTGTTTATCTGGTGATGCATTCTGTTTATTATCAACTTTATGCTTTTACTTGATTACGAGAAAGAGTATAACGGCAAAAATGCGAATTATTCGTTACATAACTGAGCCTGCAGCTAACGACAGAGATAAAAAGTTAAAAATTTGTAGTTGTCTTACTGTGGTGTTTCACCACAATTTCTTAATTAAAAAAGCGATGATTAAAACATTGTGGTTCGAAATCGTTACTGCAACAGGTAGGCTAGAATTAAAACATTGTGATTTCAAACAGTTACTGCAACAAGTGAGATAGAGTTAAAACATTTGGGTTTGAAGTCGTTACTGCAACGGGTAGGCTAGAATTAAAACACCGATTTCAAACAGTTACTGCAACGAGTGGGCTAATATTAAAACACTGTAATTTGAACTAGTTATTGTAATCACATAGGATACCTTTTTTCTAATTGGATTTTAGACTACGAGTACACGAAAAATGATTTTTTTAACAGTATCTCATTCAATTATACAGCTGTAGTAGTTAAGACGAAGTGTTGTACACTGTTACTGCAATACTACTGCATATACATAGAACTATTTCGTCCATTTATACATGCTGCTTATATATATATATGTGTGTATAAGAAATTTCATACCAAGTTCCAACGTTGCTTGTTGAATGGTATTCTGCCCTTGAGCCATTTGATTCCACATTCCAGTCAGAATATAGGAGTAGATTCACTTTTTTTAGCAAAAATTTTCATTTACTTTGATCTGAATAGAAAAAACAGATACTACAGTTTTGGCGTGATAGCCTACTCTGGTGAAGACTGTGTTAGCTAGTTCCCTAATACCGCTAGAGATTTGCAATTCAACAGCAACATCCTGTTAGAATAAAATAAATAGATCTATTTGAAAATGGAGAAAGATGTTTAAATCTATAGTGTAACTTAATCATAAAAATTTAGAATATTTAAATATAATTGATGAATGGGCAGTAAAACTTAATATAATAAAATCTGAAATAAAATTGTATATCGTACATCAATGAGGATAAAACAAAAGCAAACATTAATATCATAATATCGTTCCATTCTCAAATTACGTAAGCAGGTAAATGTAATTAGCATTATAATAGAGAGATAATCACTACAAACTTCTCTTTTTTCGAGTTAAACATGACATCTTTGGTTCATGTTAAATGAAAAGCCACTAACCTCAAAAACATTCATATTTGTATCACCTAGATGAATTAACTTTAAGAGATTCCAGTAGAAGCAACCGTATAATCCTCAAACTTTCAAATATACCAGGCCTACCTCGTAAAACTTAGTTTCCTAGTTTGAAATACACTCAGTTGAATTATCAAAACAGAATATAACACTTAGATGAGTAAACTAAGCGGAATTTGACTGCTAGTTAACGAATTATTTAAATGTTTGTTAACATAATTGTTACTCATCGTAGCACAAATAGTTATAGGTGGTTTTAATCTCTGAGCAACATATAACAATGCGACATGTATCCGCATAGAATAATTTGCTTTCCCAGCCAATCAGTAATGAGTAACGACAAAACAAACAGACGAACGTCTATGCGGGTAATCTTCGTAAACCTATATCTGCACCTTTTAGTTTTATGCAGGCAATGTACGATAAATATGCTTACATACATAGATAACCTACACTTCTTTTAATGGGTGGGACCACGTGGGCAAAGTTCATTGAGACGACCTGCATGGTTGGACGAAGTAAGAATTTTTTTATATACCCGTTGTTCGAACTAAACGAGGCTTAAGCGACTCCTATAGATCACTCAGCTATGAAAGGTTTTCAAGCAATATTCCGACTACAAGAACGCATAGGATCTTCAACTTTACTGAATAATAAAATGTGACGTTTTGTTTACGCATAATATATATATGTGGTTGATAAATACAATGAAATAATCTTAATTAGTGACACTAAAAGATGTGTTTAGACAAAACGTTTTTAATTATACCTTTTACTTAAAAGCATTAACATGAACTTTTATTTAGTTGATTACCACAGATTGTTTGTTTGTAGTTAAGCACAAAGCTACACAGTGGGCTATCTGTGCTCTGCCCACCACGGGTATCGAAACCCGGTTTCTAGCGTTGTAAGTCCGCAGACATACCGCTGTACCACTGGGGGGCATTACCACAGATAATGGAATAATTTTTAGTTGCTTATAGATATAGAGATATGCTTTAAAAAAAGAACTGTTATCAATCTTTTATACTGGTAATGAGAGTAAAATAAACTGTCCAAATTGCATTAACTTCTTATTAATAGACCTTTAGCGAATAAATAACATTTCAGTGTATATGTGCTACCAGTGAAACTAGAACAAAATATTGCATAAAAAGAGAATTGCTATTTTAATGGTTTTATGTGAATTGTGTTAGATTTGTAGACGTCTAATACTATTTTACCTGAGAAGATAAAAAGGAAATAATACAGGTTAGAAACATGAAAATTTGTCTAAAAAATGAAAATAAATCCGCATTAACAATTGTTCGAGTAAAGATGAAAGAAAGAGAAAACTGGACTTCTCTTTTTATATTAGAAACATAGCTTACAACTGCCCAAAACCTTCTACTAAGGCTAAGCGTAACTTGTGAAAACAATGTTCCATGTCCCATACTACCCTATTTTCTATTTCTTCCATCGGCGGTAGTGGTCAATCTAATGACCATGATTAGGCATAATTGTCTGATACTACAATTATACTGTAACAAACTTTTTCAAAGGATGATGAGGTCATTCTTAGACTTTATTTTGAACGTGGACTTCGGCTTTCAAGGCCACATTTAGGCAGATAAAAACACAAAAGTTCATTTAATGACCATGATTAGGCATAATTGTCTGATACTACAATTATACTGTAACAAACTTTTTCAAAGGATGATGAGGTCATTCTTAGACTTTATTTTGAACGTGGACTTAGGCTTTCAAGGCCACATCTAGGCAGATAAAAACACAAAAGTTCATTGGAACTACGTCTGAGGACGTAGCAGATGTGTTGTCGAATGGACTGTTGCGATTTGCAGTCATCTTTCTTATTGAAACAACCTTTCGTTTTCAGGAATGGCTGGGATCTTTTAAACTTTATGCTTGCGAATATTCAGCAACTCTAAATCCTTGTTTCTTATTTATTAAATGGTACCAACAGAGAAGTCCAGCTTTATCTCAGCGGGTTTATGGATCAGAGGGTTATCTTTCGTAACCAAGGTCTCTTTGCGAATGAGGGTATTGCTGCGGATTGGCTTGCGGTGTGGTTTAATAGTAGTTGCTTTCCTAAATGCTCCGCTAAGTGGGTTATTTTCCATTTTCGTGACAAACATTTAATGTTTCTTTTTTTGACATAATCTTCCAGTTATAACTATATCCTTGGCAGGAATGCAATTTTGAATGGTTATGGAATTCGCCGTGAACCAAATACACAGGTGCTAAACATGTCGCCATGCTCTCATGACTTGCACCTGCAACGTCATATATATAAATCGTGCATGTAAAGTACAAGTAACCCTCTATGCGGGTTTGTAAGTTCGAAAATCAGCTCATATCAGTGTAGAGGCGTCTATATAGTTTTTAAGTTGGAACAAAAGCTTAAGTCGGCCTAGAGACTTGCTTTAAGCTATATAATAATTCGAAGTTCAGTAAGATTCCCCAGACTGCTACTTCATCAATGTCGTCAGTCAACTCCAATTAACAGGAAAGGCAAAACAGAGTTTCAGCTTTTCTATCTCCACATTGACCAGCATACCAGACATCCTGCTGAGTTTTTATAAAAGGTCAACTGCTTTGATAAGTTAGATCATGAAATAGTTTATTGTACACACGTTGATTATTTCAAGTCATATGCAACGATGAAAACGTATTCTACAAATTGTCATGTGCAGTAGATCTGAAGGCCTCTACTCCTTCTGCAGTAGACTAGTTTCGTCGAATTCACGGCTCATCGATACTGCGTGGGAGAGGAAGCCAAGAATTGAACAGATTTCCACGTATTTCGTGGATTCTTTCCTTTGTTCACTGAGGTTCCACAATCTGTTTAGTTCTTCAGCTGCTTGAACAGATAGGAGTACATATGATTTACGTCGATTTTCAAACGGAGATCCTTCATGAATATGTTGCATACTGTTGCTTGAGGGCATTTAGACGCTATTGCCACTGAATTTTGTGTTTGTATATTTTTACCTGGTATTAGATGGCACATTTCACTTACCACGGTTGGGGCACGATTTGTTACAGGTCTCTTGGATGGTCCAGGGTTCACCAAGTTGATCCATATTCCTTTCTTTCCAATACCATTAAGTGCGCGGGATATCCCTGTCTCGAAAATTCTAAATTCTCGATCGAAACATATTTCTATAATCTGAGTATATGAATGTTTTGCCTCAGTAAAGACTATTAACATCATTCTCAAAAGCGAGAGCCTTTCGGTGGCATCACGCTACTTATGTAACTCCAAACAATGTCAAAATGTAGTTCTGATAAATGCTGTTCCATTACGACCTTGTGTTGACGGCTAATTGCAATTGAAAGAGTTGCATAAATTCGCGCACATAAAACATTAAATATATATATATACATATCAACTGCCAATTTTTCTTTTACTCAATTCACTACTCCAAGTTTTGAAGCAAGAGTGGGCGAAAATCCCACAATCTAAAATTGACGAGATGATTCTCACGATGCCCCAACGCATCAACGAACTCCACGAAGCGAAAGGAAAATCCACTAGATATTAATTAAATTATAAATATATCAATTCATGTGAATATGACTGAAAAATTCCATTTTTTTTTTGAAAATATGGTGTCTATTTACTTGTGACCACGCTGTGTATATAGATATATACATAGGTTGAATATATTATATTAAAACTATATTGGAGCCTCATAACTTTGGTAGAGTTCATTTCACCATATCTGTTCATATTCTATCTGACAACCATGCATATTGACATTAGTCCTGCAGCGTAGTTTCCAGTGTAAAAGGCTCCATGGTAAGGCTGTCGTGTCGAAAGCACACTCTTCTTCCCTGATGCTTTCTATAATTCATCTTATGTACGAGGAAGGCTGTTTTCAAGCACCCGTTTCAACATTACTATTACACAGAAATATATATAGGTACTGCATCCAATGACTTGAATGGTATGCCTTCGTATGGAATGATATGAACAAATCACTCTTCGAAGTTTTTTTTTTGTTGTTGTTGTTTCTTGACTTGTCGGTCGAGTATGGCCCAAAGGTTTTTGATGGGGTTCATGTCAGGAGACTGGCTCAGCCAGGGCAACTTCTGGATACCATTTTCTTCCTGCCACTTTTGGATGTTTCTAGCACGGTGCTCCATCTTCCTGGAACAACGTTGTGTTCTTGTCCACGACACCAGAGGAATAGAGTGGCAAGAGTCCTTCCTCCAATATCTCGACGTATTTTGCAAAATTTATATTGCCAATACACTCCA